TCAGCGATATTAGCCTGTAGTTTTCTTTCTTTGTTGTATCTTTATCTGGTTTTGGAATTAGGGTGATGCTGGCTTTGTAAAAAGTGTTTGGGAGTTTTCCCTCTTCTTGGGTTTTTTGGGATAGTCTGAGAAGGACGGGAGTTAACTCTTTCTTAAATGTTTTGTAAAATTCTCCTGTGAAACCATCTGGTCCAGGGCTTTTGTGTGCCAGTTTTTTTATTACTGCTTCAATTTCACTAGCTATTTTAGGTCTGCTCAGGCTTTCTGCTTCTTCTTCATTCAGTTTTGGGAAATTATATTTTTCTAGAAATTTGTCCCAGGTGAAATTTTTGTGAAATTTCACCCAGGTTTTCAAATTTCTTACTTTCTTACAATCTTCGTATTTTTGTGGAATCAGTTGTAATCTTTCCTCTTTCATTTCTGACTTTATTTATGTGGGTCCTGTCTTTTTTTTCTTGATGAGTCTGCTTAAAGGCTTGTTGATTTTGTTTATCTTTTCAAAGAATCAGTTCCTGGATTTATTGATCCTTTGGATTGCTCTTTTAGTCTCTATGTCATTTAATTCTGCTCTGGTCTTGGTTATTTCCTTCCTTCTACTTGCTCTGGTCTTGTTGTTGTTCCTCCAGCTCTTGAAGGTAGATGCAGGGTTAGGTTGTTTACTTGAAATGTTCTACAAACATCTCATTTTTAAGATAAACAATTCCATTGCTGAATTTATCCTTAGTCACAAGTACTCTTACCAACAAATCAAGGATGTTTATTGCTACATTGTTTTTATAGTAGTAAAAAACTGGAAACAATATAAATGATCATTAATAGGAACTATTGTAATTAAATTCTGAGATGTTCTGCAATTAAATACTATGTGGCAGTCTAAGAGAATGTGGTAAATCTGTATATGCAGGTTTGTAATGATCACCAAGTTATATTAAGTGGAAGAGCAAGGCTCAGAATAATGTGGTAGGTAGAATAATGCCCCCCTCAGAGGTGTTCATGTCTTACCTCCAGAATTTGTGAATATGTGACAAAAGGGAATTAAGGATGCAGATTAACTAAGTTAGCTAGTTAGTTGACTTTAAAAAGGGGAGGTTGCCCTGGCTGGTGTGGGTCAGTGGGTTGAGTGCTGGCCTCTGAACCAAAGGGTTTCTAGTTCAATTCCCAGTCATGGCACATGCCTGGGTTGTGGGCTAGGTCCCCAGTGGGGGGCACACAAGAGGCAACCACACATTGATGTTTCTCTCGCTCTCTTTCTCCTTCCCTTCCCCTCTCTTTAAAAATAAAATCTTTTTTAGAGATGCGGTGTTGTGCTGTGGGGAAGGGAGACAGATTTGTAAACCCCGGAGCGAGGTTCTGTCTACCCAAGGCCACTGCTGTGCGGAGACCCCGGGTGAAACCACCATCACCATGTCTGACCAGGAGGCAAAACCTTCAACTGAGGACTTGGGCGATAAGAAGGAAGGAGAATACATTAAACTCAAAGTTATTGGACGGGATAGCAGTGAGATTCACTTCAAAGTGAAAATGACAACACATCTCAAGAACCTCAAAGAATCATACTGTCAAAAACAGGTCAGAGAATTGCTGATAATCACACTCCAAAAGAACTGGGAAGCCCTGGCTGGCGTAGCTCAGTGGATTGAGCACGGGCTGCAAACCAAAGTGTTGCAGGTTTGATTCCCAGCTAGGGTACATGCCTGGGTTGCAGGCCATAACCCCCAGCAACCGCATATTGATGTTTCTCTCTCTCTATCTCCTTCCCTTCTCTCTCTAAAAATAAATAAATAAGATCTTAAAAAAAAAAAAGAACTGGGAATGAAGGAAGAAGATGTGATTGAAGTTTATCAGGAACAAACAGGGGGTCATTCAATGGTTTAGATATTCTTTTTATTTCATTTACTTTTCCCTCAGTCCTTTTTTATTTTTAAAAATAGTTCTTTTGTAATGTGGTATTCAGAATTGAATTGAAAACTGACCACTACCCCCTGTGTCTTTAAAACATCTGGTAATTTGAATTCTAGTGCCCATTCATTATTGTTTTGTTTTCATTGTGCTGACTTTTGGTGATAAAACCTTAGACCCCTTCATACTGCCCTCTCCTTTTTAAATATTACATGTGTGCACAGAGAGGCCACCTTTTTCAGGACTGTGCATTTTCAGGCTTGTGATAAATGAGGTCGACCAATTCAAGTGTTCGTAATGACATTTCTAATTGGCCCGGAAGTTCTAGCTTGTGATTGGTTCACTCCTGGACTATGACTTTCAGTGGGAGATGGAGGTTTTTCAGAGAACTGAACTGTGGAAAATGACCTTTCCTTAACTTGAAGCTACTTTTAAAATCTGAAGGTCTGGACCAAAAGAAGAGCAATACCAGGCTGGAGTCAAGATGACAGATAAAGCGAGAGTAAAGATTAACTTTGAAGATGGCTTCACTGAAGAAAAAGCATTTTAAGAGTAAAGAAAAATCTTGTCAGAAGATCCCAGAAAAGTTCTAATTTTCATTAGCAGTTAATAAAGTTATTCATGCAAAAGTGTGTACAACAGAACACTGCTCTTTTTTATTTTAATTTGTACTTTTTGGCCTGAGATATGGGTTTTAAATGGACATTGTCTGTACCAGCTTCATTAAAATAAACAAAATATTTGTAAAAATAAAAAATAAATAAATAAAATCTTTTTTTTAAAAAAGAGAGGTTGTCTTGGGTTATCTGGGTGGGCATTATATAGCCATGAGTCCTGAAAAGTGGATGTGGGAAGAGGGGAATCAGAGAAAGAGATGCACAGAGATACAATTTTGCTGGCTTTGAAGATGGAGGTTGGAGTTCTCTAGAAGCTGGAAAAGGCAAGAAAGTTTTCTTCCCTCCAGAGCCTTCAAATATAAATGTAGCCCTGCTGACAGGCACCTCGATTTTAGCCCAGGGAGACTGAAACAGTACAAAATTGTAATGGTGGGAAATTGTAACCTACCCCACTATTCTTTTGACATTGTTTCTGTAAGTGCTGACTCTGATTAATATATAGCTTGTAAACGAACAGCATGTTTGTGTATGAATCCCAGGGACTGTATGAATCCTAGGGATTAACTTCAAAAGATACAGACCCCAATCTTCAGGCTTCCCAGTTCCAGATTTGATCACTTTCAACCATGGAACCAAGATGACATGAAACCAGAATGATGCACACGAGACCATCACTTGCATTATCGGAATGGACTGTGCTCACCTGCATGTAGAGAGCTTTGCAACCTCCACCCTTGATCTATTTATTCTCTTCCCCTCTCCCTCCTTACAAAAACCTCTGCCTCCACTGAGAGCAAGAGATGGGCGTCGAGACACCAGTCCCCCACCCTCCAGATGGCCAACATCTGTAAATAAACCACTTTTTTTGTTTTTTTTGTTTTATATTTTAATATATTTCATTGATTATGCTATTACAGTTGTCCCATTTCCCCTTCACTCCCCTCCATCCTGTACACCCTCTCCCACCCATATCCCCCTCTTTAGTCATGTCCATGTGTCATACTTATAAGTTCTTTAGCTTCTACATTTCCCATACTAATCTTACCCTCCCCCTATCTATTTTCAACCTACAATCTATGCTACTTATTCTCTGTACCTTTTCCCCCCCTCTGTCCTCCTTCCACTCCCCTGTTGCTAACCCTCCATGTGATCTCCATTTCTGTGGTTCTGTTCCTGTTCTAGTTGTTTGCTTCGTTTCTTTTGGTTTTGCTTTAGGTGTGGTTGTTAATAATTGTGAGTTTGCTGTCCTTTTACTATACATTTTTTTAATCTTCTTTTCTTAGATAAGTCCCTTTAACATTTCATAAAATAAAGGCTTGGTGATGATGAACTCCTTTAACTTGACCTTATCTGAGAAGCATTTTATCTGCCCTTCCATTCTAAATGAAAGCTTTGCTGGATAGAGTAATCTGGGATATAGGTCCTTGTCTTTCATGATTTGGAATATTTCTCTCCAGCCCCTTCCTGCCTATAAGGTCTCTTTTGAGAAATCAGCTGACAGTCTGATGGGAACTCCTTTGTAGGTTACTGTTCCCTTATCTCTTGCTGCTTCTGGGATTCTCTCCTTCATTTTTACTTTGGCTAATGTAATTATGATGTGCCTTGGTGTGTTTCTTCTTGGGTCCAACTTCTTTGGGGCTCTCTGAGCTTCCTGGATTTCCTGGAAGTCTATTTCCTTTGCCAGAATGGGGAAGTTCTTTATTATTTGTTCAAATACGTGCTCAATATGTTGCTCTTCCTCTTCGCCTTCTGGTACCCCTATAATTCAGATGTTGGAATGTTTAAAGATGTCCTGGAGGTTCCTAAGCTTCTCCTCGTTTTTTTTTTGAATTCTTATTTCTTCATTCTTTCCTGTTTAGTTGTCTCTTTCTCCCTTCTGGTCCACTCTATTGTTTTGAGTCCCAGTTTCCTTTCCATCACTATTGGTTCTCCGTGCATCTTCCTTCATCTCTTTTATGGTAACCTGCATTTTTTCATTTAATTTGCGCCCAAAATCAACCAATTCTGTGAGCTTCCTGATCACCAGTGTTTTGAACTGTGCATCTGATAGGTTAGCTATTTCTTAGTCGCTCAAAAGGATGAGTTCTGGGGCACTGATTTGTTCTTTTATTTGAGCCATCACTCTCTCTCTTTTTTTTTTTTTTTTGGTCTGGTCGCTCTTGTTACGGTAAGGGGAGGAGCCTTAGGTGTTCACCGGGGCTGGGCACCCCAGTCGCTAGATTGTAACATTGTATGTGGGGGCGGGGGCGGGGGCGAACAATGGCGGCAGCCTCTCTCTCCTGGAATCTCAGTCCCTTCCCTGGGGTCCTGGGCTGCGCTCTCTGCCCTGGTCCACAATCGCAGCCTCACTGGGTCTGCCAGTTGCCGCTTGCGTACTCAGAGTCCACTGCTGCGCACCCCGGGTGGCTTACGCGCTCCCAGTTGCCTTAGGCACCCAGCTCTCCCCACATTCCACGCACCCGCACTTGTCTCTGCCCCTCCTACCGGTCTGGATGAACGGGTCTACTTCAACTTCTTGGCTGTCCGACTTCCATTCAGATAAATTCTGTCAGTTCTGGGTGTTATTCTGCCTCTAAATTGTTGTTGTTCTAATCTTGGTTGTGCGTGGAGGTACGGTGCGTCCACCTATGCCTCCATCTTGCCGGAAGTCCTGCAAATAAACCACTTTACATCAGCACCTGCCTTTAGAGTATTGGTCTTGTAGTGGCTGTCAGCTGGACCTGCGTTTGGTTACAGGGCTTTTATTGGACTTCTGACCTACAGAACTGTGAGATAATAAATTTGTGTTGTTTTAATCAACTAGGTTTGTGGCAATTTGTTATAACTACAACAGAAAAGAAATATACTGCCATTTGTGTAAATTAGAAAAATGAATATAAAAAATATATATTCAATTCAAAACCATATGCTGGCATAGATATATTGCTTTCTGGAATATCAGAAAATATCTGGCAGTGGTTTTCTTCGGGGAGAGGGCCTAGGCTTTTGGCAGAGACTTTTCCCCTTCTGCTCTTCTATTTTATACCTTCTACATTGTTCTAAGCTTTTAAAATGTCTGATTTTTTTTAAAAAACCCTTTATTATGGAAATTTTCAACCATACAAAAATAGAGTGAATAGGGTAATGAATCTGATATACTTGTCACCCAAATAAAACAAGTAGGCATCTATGACCAATTTTATTTATCCATAACCCAACCCAGTCCCTTGTATCTAGATTATTTTTATTTTTACTTTTTTTTTTAACTTTTAGAGAGAGAGGACAGGAGGGAGAAAGAAAAGGAGAAAAACATTGGTGTGCAAGAGAATCATTGATTGGTTGCCTCTCTCACACCCCCAGCTGGGGACCTCACCCACAACCAAGGCATGTGCTCTGACCAGGACTCGAACAGGCCACCTTTCAGTTTGCAAGACAATACTCAGCCCACTGAGCCACATCAGTCAGGACTACCAGGTTATTATGAGGCAAACCCAGAAATATGTGTTTCTGATGTATCTCTAAGCATAAGGGCTCTTATTTTCAACATTTTGTTATGAAAATTTTCAAGCACACATAAAAGTTGAAACAATATTTTCCAGTGAAATCCCATAGAAAACCACTACTTAAGCTCTACAATAACATTTTATTCTATTTTTCTTTATAACACAACTATCTATCCTTCTATCTGTTAATTCATTTTATTTTTTGATGCATTTCAGAGTTGTAAACATCAGTATACGTTTCCCCTAAACTCTTCTGTATATATATCATTAACTAGAGTTCAACATCTGTTTAGAGTTTCTTTTTAAAATTTTATTTATTGATTTTTAGTGAGAGGGAGAGGAAGAGACAGAGACATTGATTTGTTTTCCACTTGCTTCATTCATTGGTTACTTTCTTGTATGTGCCCTGACTGGAGATCAAACTCACAACCTTGGTGTACTGGGGGCAATGTTCTAACCAACTGAACTACCCAGCCAGAGCTACCATTTCTTTTTAAGGTAAATTTACATCCAATGAAATGCACAAAACTTTTTTTAATACTTATTAATTTTTTAAAAAGGTTTTATGTATTTATTTTTAGAGGGAAAGGGAGGGAGAGAGAAAGGGAGAGAAACATCAATTTGTGGTTGCCTCTTGTGTGCCCACTACTGGGGACCTGGCTGCAACCCAGGAATGCATCCTGACTGGGAATCAAACAAGTGACCTCTTGCTTTGCAGGCCTGCACTCAATCTGAGCCACACCAGCCAGAGCAAAATGCACAAACCTTAAATGTAACACTTGATGAGTTTTGACAAATGCATACACTTGTGTAACTTAAACTCCTGTATCAAAATATAGAACTATCAGCCAGAAAGTTCCCTATGCCCCTTCCCAGTTAATGCTCATTCCCACAGGGGCAACCATTGTTTTTAGGGCTTTTTTCTTCATATATTAACATTATGTCCTAGGTGGTGTAGGTAAATGCGATACTTGATTCTTCCCTCAACCATATCAAAATTACAACTAAACTACAGAACAATCATCTTTCAGAACTGCCTGAAATCTAGCTGAACAGAAGTTGTACAACTAAACATATAAAGAAGCCACATGGAAACTGGTAGAGGGGTTGGGATGCAGAACCAGCTGGTCCCACACCCACATGTGGCAGATAAAAATTTGGAGGGATATCTTGTCTGATGGTCCCCCTGAGGAACAAGTGATCCCAGCTCCACACCAAACCCCCCAGCCCAGGTTTCCAGTCCCAGGAAGAGAAGTCCCCATAATTTCTGGCTGTAAAAACCAGTGGGGATTGTGGCTGAGTGACATTAGGGTGGCTGGAGTCCCAGGAGTTCCTCTTAAAGGGCAGGCACAGGGATTACTCAGACTCGCTCTCTACTGAGCTCCAGCACTGGGACAGCAGCTTGAGAGGTACTAGGGACATACAAGGAAGAACTGAACTGTTTGGCATCAGGGCAAGAACTGGAGGGGTAGCTTGCTACCAAACAGAAGTGCTGGCAGAGGCCATTGTTCCTTTTCTGAGCCCTCCCCAATAAGAGTGAATGTGCAGGTGGGCACCATATCTGAGGCTCCATCAACCTGGCTAACCCTGTTTGCCCTGCTCTGGTTATTCCCTGAGACCCTACCCCACCCAACGTGTAGGCTCAACCCAAGTTGTTTTCAGTGACATTTTTCATACAAATAGTCTGTCTTGCCTCATGCTTTGGACTTTCCTAAAATCTTTCAAACAAGCAGCATCTGACCTCTGTATACCCTGTATCCCTTGTTAAGTGTCCTTAGGCCCAGCACTAACAGAAGCTGGCCTTGGTTTGTAGCTTGGCCTCTCCTGTGTATCTCCAAGCCCAGCATAAGTAGCAGCCATCTGCAGGTCACTGTAGCTTGTGCCAGGTGGCCCCAGGCAGGGCACAGGTGGTGGCTGACCTTGTACATCTTGTGAGGTCACAGAGCCAGTGTACCTTGTGGACATCTTCAGACCATGCCAATTACAACCCTATCACCTTCACGAGCAACACATTCAAGGAGCAAACTCAGCAAGCACCAAAGTCCACTAAAGCAATTCCTGCTTCATAGGGTTTACTCTTACCCAGCAGCTCCTTCACTGTAATTGCAGCTAGTACTCACAACCAGTCAGCCTGAGGGTCAATCCTTCCCAGTGAAGCCAACATCAGTCAAGGCTCAACTACAACAGGAAAGTGCACACAGTTCACACATGGATGCATCCCTGGAGCACCCAGCTCAGGTGACTGGGGAGGCTGCACCACTGGGCCCTATGGAACACTACCAAGTCAGGGAGATGTAGCATCTCTACCTAGTACATAGAAACCAGCATAAGGAAGCAGACAAAATGCAGAGACAAAGAAACAGGTCCCAAATGAAAGAATAGGAGAAATCTCCAGAAGAAATAAATGAAATAAAGGCAGGCAAACTACCAGATACAGAGTTCAAAACAATGGTTATAAGGATATTCAAGGAACCTAGTGAGAACTTTAGGGAACTTAATGAGAACTTTAATAGCATGAAAGAGGATGTAGAAATCATAAAAAAAAAAGAACCAGTTGGAAATGGAGGATACACAAACTGAAATAAAGGATAAGTTACAGGGTATCAACAGTAGAATAGATGAAGCAGAGAATCAAAATCAGTGATTTGTAATATAAGAAAGCAGAAAACACCCAATCAGAATAGCAAAAAGAAAAATGAATTAAAAAAAATGAGGAGTGTAAGGAGCCTCTGGACAACTTCAAATATACTAACATTTGCATCATGGGGGTACTAGAAAAAGAAGAAAGAGAGCAAGAAATTGAAAACCTATTTGAAAAAATAATGATGAAAATTTCCCTAAGCTTGTGAAGGAAATAAACATGCAAGTCCACAAAGTACAAAGAGTCTCAAGCAAGACGAACTCACCTACACCAAGACACATCATAATTAAAATGCCAAGGGTTAAAGACAAAGGGAGAATCTTAAGAGCAGCAAGAGAAAGTCAGTTATCTGCAAGAGAATTCCTACAAGAATGTCTGCTGATTTCTCAACAGAAACTTTGCAGGCTAGAGGGACTGGCAAGAAATATTTCAAGTGATGAAAAGCAAGGACCTACCACCAAGATTACTCTACACAACACAGCTATTATTTAGAATCAAAGGACAGATAAAGAACTTCCCAGAGAAGAAAAAGCTACCAAACCAGTATTACATCACCACAAACCAGTATTACAAGAACTGTTAAAGGGTCTTCTTTGAGAAGGAAAAAAAGATAAAAATAGGAGTAATAAATGGCCATAAAGAAGAACAGCTTGCCATTTGAAATAGCATGGATGAACTTAGAGGGTATTATGGAAGATGAAATAAGTCAGAGGAAGACAAATACCATATGATTTCATCTATATGTGCTAGCTAAAGAATAATATAAACAAACAAACAACAGAAACAGGCTTATAGATACAGGGAATAGACTGATGATAGGTAGAGGGGCCAGGGACTGGAGGACTGGGTGAAAAGATGACAGTATTGAGAAGAACAGGTTGGTAGTTACAAAATAGTCAGGGAGGTGTAAAGTACAGCATAGAGAATATAGTCAATAATAGTATCATAACTACATATGGTGGCAGTTGGTTACTGGAAATAATCAGGGGGAACACTTTGTAAAGTATAAGATTGTCTAATCACTATGCTCTACACCTGAAACTGTTATAGAACACACAACAAGGGGGGACCTGAGACAATATACTATTATTGAAAGAAGGCCCTGGGTCCGTTATGTCCGCCGCCAGAGGAAAGACGTCTCTCAATGCCAGAGATTCATGAAAAGGAAAGGAAATGTTTATTTAATGCTATACTAACTTAAAGTAATGACCTTAATGTCTTTATCAAAAATCCGAAAGTCCCTAAAAACACCCACAAACACGCACAGTCCTTCCTTCCTTCCCCCTTTGCCCAGCCCAGAGTACCATATCTCAGGAAAGAAAATAGAAGTCCATGGCTCAGGCAGTCCTCTGGTTCTTCCCAGTTAGTCCTCCATCTCAACTGGGAGACCTCCCTGGGTTCCCGGCACCCTCGGCTGAGTC